ATAGTATCAAGAGAATAAGTAACTTAGAGAGTTCAAGACCAGATCATTGAAGGATAAGGTCAACAGCCTCTGTGTATATGTATGTATGTAGGTGTGTATGCATACATATATTTTTTCCTATAAGTTAATTTAATTGTGTACCTCAAAATTTAGTAGATTGAAAAAAACAAAAATTTGCTTAGTTCATGATTCTGTGGGTTGGATGGATGATCCTTCTAGTGTGAGCTTACTTAGCTGGAGCCCGTTAAGCATTCTTATGTGTTTGCTGTCAGCTGAAGGATCAGCTGGTAAATGAATGATCTAGGATGGCCTTAATTATCATTCTGGCAATTAGCAGGCTGTTACCCAATGCATTAGGAGTGACTCAGCCACATGTCTCTCATCCATTAGCAGACTAGCCCCGAAATATTCACCTGTCAATGTCAGGGTTTTAAAAATAAGAGTGCATGCCCTGGCTGGTGTAGCTCAGTGGACTGAGCATGGGCCTGTGAATCAAAGAACTGCTGGTTTGATGTCCAATCAGGACATGTGCTAGGGTCGTAGGCCAGGTTTCCAGTACGGGGACCATGAGAGGCAACCACACATTGATGTGTCTTTCCCTCTCTTTCTCCTTCCCTTCCCCTCTCTCTAAAAGTAAATAAAATCTTCAAAAAGGTAAAAACAAGAGTATACAATGCACAAATATTTACACGTCTCCACTTGTATTATATTTGATAATGATGCATTGGCCACAATGACTCACATGGCCAACCCATATTAAGAGATATTGAACTGGACTACCCCTTCAGATGGGAAGGGACAAACATGTGACTGTTTTTAAGTCAACCACATATATTTATTTTCTATTCTGTCAACTAGACTCTAACTTTCTTGTGGCACCAGCTAAGTCTATCATGCCTGTTTACTAAAACTCTTTCACCTATTATAGTATTTGAAACACAGTGGGCATTCATGATAATCTCCTGATAAATTCCTACCTATCAATACATCAACATATCCAAAATAAAGTTGTCTACCTTCCCAATAAGCCATCAAAATGTCTAAACGCCCTTACTTTTAATGAAATAAATGTCAATTTTCCAATTCTTGAGCTCCACACTTGGATGTCACTTCTAGGCATTGCCACTATCTCTCTTCTCTTGCAATCAGATCCAGCTCCTTGTTTAGTCTGTTTACTGAATTACCCTCAACTGTACCTCACTCATCATATAATACTTTTTGTTTTCTCATATTGTAACAATAAAGGTTACTCGATCTCTTGATTAGATAGTCCCAGCTTGACTTTCTAGCACTACTGGATTTCACTCCATTGTTCAAGTGCCCCGCACCAAAGTCCTGCACGCATCTTTGAAAAGCGTACCGCTGATTATGCCACTCCACTGCTCAGTGGCTTTCAATGACCTTCTAATTTTTACCAACTTTTCAGCTGAGCATTTAAAGGCCAAGAGTCCATGTACTTAAACAAGTTTTCACAGCCTTTTGCCTCAAAATCTGCTTTCCTGTATATCATATTCCTGATACCTGGACTACAACCCTTTCCCTCAAGAACATCCATATTATTTTTTACTTTACTTTTGCTCTTTATTTACTAGCAAGTGAAACATTTTCCCCTGTACCTCAGTTTCTTTACTGTTCAAAATTCGACTCACTCAACATTGCTCTATTCAAAGACAGTACCTTCAAAAAACTGTTACATAAAGTTGCCTCAACCCGCAAGAAAAAAAATTGTCCTTGTGCTATTGAAACTTCCTAACATCTTTTAGCTCCTATATGTTTCATTCTGAAATTGCCTGTTCACTCTTCTATCTGTCCCTAAAGGTCTAACCTACTTTAAGACTGAGACTGTATATTATTAATTACTACATCCACATTATACAAAATACAATTTTTAGGTATAGCCTATACACCTTCACTATTTGATAAATGAATGTCAAAAGGAGAACTGAAAACCTCATATTGTTTTCAGCTTAGTAAATATTAGCAGGCGATGTAGATTAATGAAATAAACTGAAATTACTATCTCAAGCCACCTAGATTTGCTCCGTGGCTTTCACCCATTATGCATGTATTTCCAGAGGCTAAATAATAAATCACACATCCAACAAATGCAAATTAAATCAATGTTAAAGAAAGTGTTAACTCAAAAGAATACACTATAACTCTAAAACTACATTTCACTGTTAGAATTTATACATTTTATGGCATTTTATGGCTAGGATGAAGATAAGGAATCTTAATGACTCTTACACATATATCACTGAAGAGTCAGAACTAAGGAAATGCTTTTAAAAGATATCAGCATCAATTAAATAGGGTAACAGTTGCTCTTACATAGTTATATATATTTTTTAAACTTTCAAAACAGTAGGAAGTTAAATAGTGTAATCATTTTTGTCTATAGTCATATTTTAAGTGAAACTATTCCATCCATGACACTGCTTTTGTTCACATGAATTTAAATGTCTTGAAGAGAATGTCTTACCTTAAATGCACAATATTAATTTTTAAAATTTTCTTATACTACCAATAGGCTGATTTCAGTAACTTTCTGGAAGTCACTGTAAATTATTCTTTCCCATAGCATGTATTCTCTTGGATCTTTCATTGGAATTAAGAAAAATACTGCATTCAAGTTACATTACTATTTCTCTGTGCTTTAGTTTTCTGATTTATTTAATAAACATCAAAAAGGAAATGCTTACAATAGTTCTCGATATCGCATGATAATAAAACAACTACGTTTTTCTTCTTTATATGTAGTCATATCCTCTACTGACATACTGAGGAAAACAGTTTGGAAAATAAATATCAATACTATTAACTACATTATATGTTTCCATGTGCGATATGGGGTTTGCCAATTAGTTTAATTTTTACTAATTATATTGGGCATTTATTATTTCACAGCTTCTTTCGTTCTTTCCTCTTATTCCTCTGGTAGCAGAACATCAATTTACTTTCAAGAAATTCATTTATCACAGAATTGATTGGAATGATAATCCCATCCCATACCCCAATAGTGGATATCATGACCATCCTAGGCTAATGCTACTTTCTCTTTTGGAATTTTGAGTGCTGAGTAGAAAGACAGAAAAACAAGGAGCTATTGCATTCCAGTGGTAGCACCCTAACACTACTCTGATAAGCGTGGTAGGTAGAAAAAGTACCCTTAGTCTCCCCCTGAATAAAATTTACCCAAGTTCTAAGCCTTAGAGCCCCTGAATAGGTTATCAGGTGAGTGGTCCATTGTAATCAGAAGGGCCTTTAAAGGTGGGAGAGGGATGAAAGGAATGAGGGTGTGAGAACTTTAAGGTTGTTGGTTTTCAAGGTGGAAAAAGGGGCCTAATAAGCTAAAGAACCTCTGCATCCTCTTGAAGTTGGAAAAAAAAGAAGAGAATGAATTTCCCACCAGAACCTCCAGAAAGTAATGTAGCTCTCTAGATACCCTGAATTTTTAGCTCAGTGAGACACACTTCAGACTTTTAAAACTACAGAGCTGTAAGAAAAGACATTCATGTTGTTTTAAGCTGGTATGTTTTTAGTAAAGTGCTTCAGCAGTCAGCCACCAAAAACCAATGCAACAAGCCTCCTGCTTTGACCTCTGAAATTGACATGGGTTGGCTGGGGTCCACATGGGTCTTACTCATTCCTAAATGGTTTTGAGATTTCTATTACAATTGCATAATTATTCCTAAAGCATTTCATGTGTTCTATATTTGCTAGATTTATGTAGAATCAACCTCTGAGGCTTTGTAAACAAGCATACCTTTTAAGATATATATCCATACATTTTGATCATCTTTTGTTTTCTTAGGCTATAAATACCTCCTAGAAGACATTTTGACTGATTCCATGCTTAAATGAAAACTAATGCAATCTCATGCATTCTTTGTTATTCAATAACATTTTTGTTATGGTAATTATGATTAACTGAATTTATTGAAAAAATAAAAAAAAGTAATTCACAGAGGAACATGTACTATGGATATTCTATTAGAAATAAAATAGAATAATATAAAGTTAGTTTGGAAAGCATTCAGTTTCCTCTGAGGTCTCAGGTGTATGCCTACTATTAAATAATTCTAATGTAGCAGCTATGATACTTTTATTTTCATCTCTCACACAAGCATTTGTATGTTAAAATTATCTTCATTGCTTTTATTATTACTGGCAGTAATATTTCACTAAACTATGCTACAATTGATGTATTGTTTGGGTTTACACTAAGTTAATTGTTGAATGTCCTTTCTTTCCATGGAATAAAATACAATGAGTTGTAGTCTTTTTTCCAAAATAATTAATCTGTTTATATCTATTTATACATATGATATTTCCAAAAGGGTGTAGGAATAAACATTGGCATCAACTGTATATGAGTGTAACATCATTATGCCATAATCTCACAGAATTTTATCATTGCCTTAGACATGTTTCTGTAATTATTCTTCACTTAAGCAAATTTATTGGAGTAACTAGGCAATTCATTTCTATTACATACTTTTGGCAAGTATGTTGCTATTAAGAACTCAGCTGTCCATAAAATTTGTATACAGGTGCGTACATCTTTTTAGGTCCTTTACTTTTTGCCTTAGTATTCTGCACTTTAAATATGTTGTGTGTAGGTGCAGAATTATTTTATTTATTCTTCCTTAGGTTATGATTAGGGATATCATTTTTATTAATTTGCTTATGTGGCTAAGTCTGAGGATTAGTGTTTCTTAGCAATTCTTGAAATTTCTTAATAGTTCTTTAAATATTTGTTCTTCATTGTTGATATTTTTGGGGACTCTGCTTTAATGTACATTTATCCTATTACATAGACCTTCCACGGCCCCTCAACTCTGGTATTTTCCACCTTATTTTCTTTCTGTCCTGAATTCTGGTACATTCTTCAAATCTTAACCCCATTTAATTAATCCTTTTAATGCAATTAATCCTTTTAAAGGAATTAATGCCTTTTCTGTTTCTAATCTCCTATATTTATATTTTGATAATTTCAGTGACTATGAATACACACTCGTACTCCATATTGCTTTCCACAGTGGCTGCACCAACCAACCTGCATTCTCACCAACAGTGCATGACATTCATACCTTATCTCTGTAAGTATATTTATCTTATTATTTATATCCAGTTCTGATAATTAATGTATGATATGTATTTAAAAATCAAAAATCAAGTTATGTACTCATTATATTTCATTAGTTTTAAATCATGTTGTCTTATTTGCTTAACTGATTTGTGATTTTTGACCAGAGGCACTACAAATCTAAAATATTTACATTTAAATTATTTGATGAAAGTAATTGTGTGATGGACACACAATGTAATATACAGACCATGTATTAAAGAAATCAGCACTTGAAACTTATAAAATCTTATTAAGTGTTAGTGTCTCCCTAATATTTTCAATAATAGTAAAAATAAATTAATTGATTAAATTACATTAAAAATATGAATTTTTTCAAATGACACATGTTGTTTTAATTTAGGTACAAATTTGAATACATTCCCTAACAATATTTGAAAGGGAGAATGGCATGCACTGAGAAATTTGATTTTTTTTCCCAGAGAAGTGAGGTCACTTTAATATTATAAATATATTCCAGTACTAATTTACTGTAGGTGCTTGTTCAAATTCTACTGAGACCATAAGAATAACAAAGAAAGGTCTGGAAAGATATGAGTAACAAAGAATGGATGCAATGAAATAGAACAAGACCCAACTCATGATTTTTGTGTTTTCCTTGACCTTTTGACATTATAAGCTTGGTATTGCTACACTTCCACATTTTGGAGAGAAGCTAAAATTTCAGATTTTCAAATGTTACAAGCACATTAAAATTATAGAATTTCATAAGCAAAAATGGTAGTGTAAGGACCACTGAGAATTTGACACTATAAAAACTGAGAACAGTTGCTGGAAACTGTCAAAGTTAACTTCTTCAGAATTGTACAAATTAACCAAAGGTTTGTAGCAACAATCTTTTTTTTTAAATTGAATATTGGTATCAACAGAGAGCTTAATGATATTTTGACTTGCTGTAGTTCTGTTCCCTGCTGTCAAACTCAGGGATTTAAAAGAATGTGATTGTTTCTGGAGAAAAAGTCTGTGATAGTTAATTAAGTTAGATCAGAGAGTAGAGGCCTAATCTGATAGGACTTTGATCTCCCTCATTCCCCTCTCCTCCTCTTTTTCCTTCTCCTCCTTCTTTTCTTCTTCCTCTTTCATGGGTAGGATGTGTGGGACCTGGATTCTATCTTTGAATTCCTGGCACTTCCAATTTTTTTTTCTATTTTTACACTAGAAAGTAAGTGAATGCCTTCCTATTTTCTAGACTTACTTTGGAGATCTAATGAGATCAGTGAACTCTTGGTGAAATACAAATGACATTGATCTGATGGTTTTTCCTTTCCCATTGAAAATAGCACTGAGATCACAAACTGAGGTCATCAGACTGAAGACAAACTGATAAAATTTTAGGCCCTAAGCATCTGGTAAAATAAAATCTATCTCTGTATGAATCATTATCAAATAGTCTTTAACATACTGGAAGTAGTATCCTATTTTAAAAACTATTATGCCAACTTATTTCTGAGCATATGAATGCACAAAACCAGCTTATTCACAGAGTTTTCTCGGTCAGTGAAATGGCCTTTCTGTTCTTCAGAGCAGAACTTTTGCCCCAAGCTGTCTTTAATAATAAACTAAGCATAAAATGTATGTTCACAGCACAAGCACATTAGCATTTTTAACTACTGTGAATTCTATATTCTTATATATCTGAACTAATTTCCTTGTCAAAGAAATATATCTACTTAAAGGCAGAATTTCTTCTTCTTAATTTGTTGTATGTGTACTTCCACATAGAATACATTACCTAATTTTAAAAAATATATTTTATTTATTTATTATTAGAGAGAGGGCAAGGGAGGGAGAAATAGAGGGAAAGAAACATCAGTGTGTGGTTGCCTCTCTCACACTCCCTCCTGGGGATCTGGCCTGCAACCCAGGCATGTGCCCTGACTTGGAATTGAACCAGTGACCCTTTGGTTCACAGGTCAGGCTCAATCCACTGAGCCACACCAACCAGTACTGTTCCCTAATTTTTAATTAGTAGTATCTTGAGAGCTAATACTTTCAAATTTTCTAAATTCTATTTGTAAGAATCTCTTAAACTGTTATGAATAGAAAAAATATATACACATATACCTGGAAGTTCATTCTGAAGCGATCATATCCATGTGGATGGTAAGACAGTTAAAAATATGTGACATAAAAAGTAACTTAAGTAGCATTATGAAATGGTTCCAACTCAATACGGGGAAATTTCAAGATTCATCCTTTTTCTTCAAGCCATGCTCAATATACTAGATGTTAGTCATTAAAATCTCAATCAAGTGCATACATAAGCTGAGCACTGTTGGGCTGCCCAGATCAATTATATGTGGGTCGATCACTGAGCAACCATAAATAAAGTAATCAAAGTTAAAATACACACTTACAGACCCATGTTTCCAACACATAAGGGAGTAACTGTGATCATTATTTTCTTCAGCTCTGCCACGTGGAAAACTGAGAGAGAAAACAGAGCTTCATTAAGAAATGTCTTCTTTATTAAATTAATTGGTGGGTGGGTATTTAAGACTTAGAGGAGCAAGATTGACAAAGTCTGATAAATCCTGTACCAACGATATACCCTAACATTTAAAGTTATAATGTTGGCCGGTCTGAAGAATGTCGAAAAGTTTGCAGTTACTTAGATTCAAAGGCTATCATAAGGAAGCAGGTAAATATACACAAGTTTCTCTAATTCAAACCAGACATACGACTTGGTATTCATATTTGAACTGACCTTAATAATTGTGATACGCAGATCCTGAGAAAACTCCCACAGTCAATTCCCAATTTCTGGTACCCAGGAATTTGTGTAATTTCTTGAGTAGAGGTGGACCAGTGAGTTGCTTCTAGCCAACATGGCGAATGTGATGAGATGTCACCTCATTGTTGCTTTACAGCCTGTAAGACTCCCTGTCTTGGCATAATGTAGTGACACTTGATGGTCTTAAACTAGCAAATGTCGTAAGTTGCCTATGGAGAGGGCCACATGGCAAAGAACAGAAGCAGCATAGAGGAGCTCACAGGCAGCAAAAATGTGGAGACTTCAGTCCTACAGTTGCAAGAGAATAAAGTCTGCCACAACCTGTAGGAACTTGGAGGCAATTCTTCCTTATTTGAGCACCCAGATGAGCATGTAACCCAGCTAAAACCTTGACTGCACCTCTGTGAGACCCTGAGTGGAGGGTCCAGATAGTTGCTCCTGAACTTCTGACATATGAAAATGTGAAAAAGCAAATGTGTTGTTTTAAGCCTCTTTGTTCATGGTAATTTTTATGTCATTGAGCACATATAAAATAACAAAGGAATATTTTTCAAATACATAGTTGACTGCAAAGATGTCTGATAAAATAATATTGTTGCATTATTAGTAGGTATTTATAAATAGTACATTTGCTTTATGAAATTACTCAAAATAGGTTCTTTATTTAACTGGAAAAACATGTATTACATTGTGCTTAAGAACAGGAACTCTGTATTCCTCGGATCAAATTTCAGCTCTTTTATTTTCTAGCTGTGTTATCTTGAGAAATACATGGAATCTTTCCGAATCTCAGTTGTCTCAACAGAAAAATGGATAATAAAATATATGCAAAATAAAAATGTGTAAACATATATGAGGCCTGTCTTGAAAAAGTCTGGCCACTGTTAATATAACAAGAATGGTTTATGAAGCATTGATGTAACCTGGCAACCAAGGAGAATGGACTGGAATGTGCCTACATGAACATGGATGTCTTAACTCTACTTGTCAGTGAGGGTGGTAGATGCAATTGAGTGAGCATGTGTACTGTGTGGCCATTGCATTAAAAATGACTGTACAAGTAGAGCAATGTATCTGCATCAAATTTTGTGTTAAGCTAGAAGATTCCTTCAGGTGATTCAGAAAGCCATAGCTATGGACAACTGGTGATTGGCAGCTTCATCATGACAGCACACCCACTCATGTGTCATGTCTTATGAAGAATTTTTTGAAGAAACATCACATCACCCAGGTGAGTCAACCTCTTTACAGCCCAGAGTTGGTGCTCTGTGACTTTTGGCTTTCCCAAAACTAAAATCACCTTTGAAAGGGAAGAGATTTCAGGTCATCAATGCGATTTAGGAAAATACAATGGGGCAGCCGATGGTGATTGGGAGAACTGTGTGAGGTCCCAAGGTGCCTACTTTGAAGGCGACTGAGGTGACAGAGGCATCAGTGTCCTATGCACATTGTTTCCTATATCTTCTTCAATAAATGTCTCTATTTTTCATATTATATGGCTGAATACCTTCTGGACAGACCATATATCTGACAGACCAGATAGATACATAGATATACAGATATATAATGGACTTGCTTTGAAGCTTGAGTGAGTAAATACAATAATATATATATTTTTAATTACTGAAATAAAGACTTTTCAGGATAATTATAGTATAAATTGTGCTTTTTCTACCAAAATAATTAATGTTCAAATGTGAAATAAATAGTTTCATCTATTCTACTTAGAGTTAATGTCAGGACAGCAGAGGGCATGAAACAATGACAATTTATAGATGCCCACAATTGAAAAAAAGTGAATTTAATTAAAAAGCAAAACAAATATTAAAAATAGTCATATTCATAGCAGTTAATTGCATTAAATTACAGATATCAGAGAGAGATCATGTAGAATTTTGTTTTTTGGAGAAAATGTGCTACCTACAGGTAAAAAAAGTTCCAGTGGTAAAGTTTTGGTTATAAAAAGCCTATAAAAGAATGGAAACTTTGCCTAAGAAGGATATGTAAACAGAGAAGGACTAGTAAAGGAATAATTATGTCAATAGTAAATGTTAGGGGTATTTACTTAGGCCAAAGTAATAAAATGCACTAAGAAAAGAATAGCTCATCCAAGCACGTATTTCACAAAGGTAGAATTGACATGTATCTACTCCCAAAGGGAGAGTTACTATCATCTTCTTTATGATATCACATCAGTGGTACAAACTAAGTCTGCAGTA